TATAAACCTTTAGAGAACGAGAAATTCTAAATGGTATGTCGTTATTAGCCATTTTTATGTTATGAAATGAATTGTAATTTCTGTCATATTGAGCCAATCGAWAAACTAACCATATCACTAAAAAGGCTTTATCGACTTTAGTGTAGGTTCCAAGTTACAGATCATTTGGACAAATATTCAATTAATGAGAAGCCGTGCAATTTACAGAGAATGTATGGGGATTTTGACCGCGTCCCCCAAAACAATACGTACATTCTCTGTTAATTTGATGAAACTAGGAATARATACTGTTCAGCTAGTTTTTATCCAAACGTTTTGAAACTTGGTATATTTACTAATTTTTGGGTGTCCTTTCATCTGGTGGGGTTTGTTTCGTGATTAGATCAATATTTCTTAGATTAGTGCCCAGTCCCCTGCGCAACGTCGAAATGGCTAATACCTGTGTCTATAAACTTATACACCCTTTTAATAAGTCCCGAGGTATTGAGTTTCCGCACTTGACGTCAAATTTATTCTTTTGAAATTTTAGCAATACAAAAGGAATTCAAAAGAATAAATTAAACGTCAAGTGCGGAAAACTCAATACCTCGCCGGACTTATTAAAAGCGTGTAGAGAACGAGAAATTTTTGTATATGTCATGGCTACGCGTCAAAAATGGTGTATCGGTATACCTGTGTGTACATACTTATACATGCCTTTAGAAAACGAGAAGTTCTTATAAATGTAGTTATATCCTGAATTAAAAATTGTGAATTTGAAAAATATTTTACGCGTTTTCGCGTTGACGCATAGCCAAAAAATATGTCTATACTAAGGTGTATATATATATAACAGCTACGCGTTAGTTGTCCGAGGTGCGGGGTATTCGATGGTTGTACCGAGTTGATAAAGCTATCTACCGGTTAAAGTTTTCTAGCCCCTGGTTCAGTATCATAAACTATATACTAGTCAGTAAATACAGACTGATGATTATCATTTATTTTAATTGTATTTCACGGTACGACTGCGTTTTACGCTAGCGTATCAACTGCCTTATCCCACGCCCTTCACAGTCGTCACGAAAAAAAAAACACACACAAAACAACCAAGAAGCAACTTGAATATCTGACTTTGCTTGAGCCTCTCCTACTGGAGCGATGAGTCTAGATGATGATGATGAAATGTTGATACAGCTGACTAGAATTTAATTTTGCTTTCCACCTTTCAAATCACACACAAATGGTTCTTTTAGTGATATTAAAACTCGATGAGGATGTTTGCATGATTCCTGGACACGATTTTACCCTTGGAAGCTTAGAGATTAATCTTGTAGGTCTTAATTCTACTGGTTTACTGTAAGACACGCAATTTTGTAGAAAACTTCGTGATGAATCCGTTGCAGAGACACTAATTGTTCTCTTGTCAAAAAAAGAATCTCTATTGCAAGTTGGAAAACGTTTGTATACCTTGGTGAGTTTTTCAGGGTTCGTCAGACGGTTGTCGTTGAGCACGCTTCGGTTTGCAGTTTGAAATAATTTTTCTTTGGTATAAAGTTTTGGAAACGTAAGATCTGCACTCTCAAAGTTATCAAGATATGGTATAATGTTGTTGTCTTCATCTTGGTAAAGATCTTTAAAGAATCTATTAGCCACTTTTTCAGCATCTTTGACATTCCTAAGATCAATGATTTTTACAT